TCTGTTGATAAGTATTCTTATCATTGTTTTGAGAAAAACGAAACTGACAAATCTTTGTAATCTGTGTTTAAGGTATCTAACCTCACTAATATCTGGTTGGAAACATTCCGAATGTGACTTCTGTTTGCAGTTAGGGAAAAGGGGAGGGAGATTGTGTTCGTACTGTGTTTTGACGCATGCACGATTCGATTCATGGATATAGTTAGTAGATTGTGTGTCAGAGAAAGACAGCGAACCGTGGTTAGGTGCACAGAAGTGAAGAAGTACAGGCCAGGTTTGAGATACACAGTTCACACAGGAGTGACTTGAACAGACGAGAGACGAGCATTATTTGAAGTTTGCATTCTGTGGACACCAGTAGGGAAGCAAAACGTTCAAGTAACTACTCAGTGCAGTCTGATTATATCTTTTTTATTAAAACACGTTCGGAATACCTTCAGCTTTCCTATGACCATCGACCACCTCGAAAAACGTTGCCCCGGAACAATAACAACATCAAACAAATCCGAAATGGAGTTAGTCGTCGACTTCACGCACATGACCAGTGACTAAATTTTAGCTGCCAAAGAATGTGAATGCATTGACCAAAAACGTGAGCATTACACGGTCTCTGCGTTTTTGTCGGGACACATCAACAGTGCGTTCATACCAAGAGCAAATCTTCCGATCGAGAACGGGCGTCCATCCTTATTCCTGAGCTACACACACTCGACGGAAATGATTTCCAGACATGACACTCTTCAATCTCGTCAGTGAATTTGTACTGTGCGATCGCTCATCACAATCTTGAAATGGTAGCTTTCCAGTGTCATTTGGAGTTGAATTGGGGCGATGCACACCAACGGGTTTTGATGCGATAACGATTAACGGGGTGAGCAGTCAAATCCCGTACCACTCTGAACAAAAGCTCCATTCTCGCTCGTGTGTGAGTTATCTCTGGATAATCCACACTTTTTTCTTTATGAAAATGTCAGTTCATTCCGAATGGCCTATCATTGTAATAAATTCCAAGGTAACCAAATAAGGCACATGGTCTCTCAGTACTGATCAATTAATACAGAGTTCGCTAGAGGAGAACATATAAATTCACAGTTTTATCGCTTGTGATTGAAAATTATTTGCCAACCATACGAATACTAGATTGCAGCTTTCACCTTAATTTGATCGGTCTCAGTATTATGTATTCACTAAATGTCCCAGTCTCATATTACTCTTTCGCTCAAAAGTTGTTCCTGAAGTGGACTGATTGACGTAATAAGAAAGTGGTTGGAGGGGCGGGATAATAGGCTTGTCTTTGTTATTTGATTGAACTGTCATATGCATGACCCGGTTCATAGGACTCGAGTATGGTTCACGTACATTTTATGACTGCCTAACATGAAAACTATAATTCAATCAAGTGGCGAACTAGGGTGAAGTGTACCACTCAATGGTATGCAATGTCTAAAAAGGTAGGATGAATTTTCAAAATTGATACTAACTACTCGGTAGTTGGAAGTAGGCGAATCCGTTATGCAAAAGAACGTCGGCCATTTTCAAACTCATTGTCCCACGACATGGTGTTCGACTGATTGCCCTATACGCATCATGTACGATTAGTTAACTTGAGAACGATTCTCAAACCAGCACTTTCGTTGGCTGAGAATCCCCTCGTTTCTACTATAGCTTCAAGAATCCGAATCGTTTTTTGTCAATAAAGTTTGTATTTCCTCGGTTGTTTATTCATTCTATTTGGCTCGGCTCAGTGTCATTCTTGGGAAATGGGAATATCTTTCCCATTGTTCGCCTCTCATTAACGACACAGCTTCCATTGTGCCCTGTAACCTCTCCCACTCCCTTTGCCGCACTACCCGGTACATCGACATGGTCAGATGATATTCTTAAAGAAAAAATTAAAAGCTCCAACAATCTGCTAACAGGAGAACATAGAAGACTAAACAGCAATATATGATTGAAAGTCTGATTCAGTATAAGCAGACCAGGATTTCGAGAATATGAACTGATTTCACAATTAGGAGCAAACCAAGACTTCCTCGGTGATTGTTTCAAATAATTTCTAAGCAGTAATTCCGCTCATTGCAAGCTAAATATCTACTGCCGCTGGTAAAGAACTTACTGGCTTCCATTGGTTGTTCCAATTGTGAGATAATAAATCCTAAACTGAATATTGTTGCGCAAAAACTCCCAGAAATGCTTAGGTTTTTTCTCATTCGGGCCACCCGCGTTTCCCAATGCAAAGATAGATTCCCTTTATCCGTGTTCTCTTTCTGTGTCTAATCAGTCACCTTCTTCTGCGAGGTAATGCACACACTGAACACATGATCAGGTAGTTATCTGAAGGATTCCGGGAAGATTATCCCAACTGATAAAATATTAGTATGGCAAAGTTAAACGACAGTTCCGCTGGTGGCCATTTCGTAGGGACAAATCACATGGTATCGTCACATGCCGCTGTGTATTCATTCCTAAGCGAACCTGGAGCAGTCAAATACTGAATTCGTGACGCGATCCAGCTGCCAGATGTTTAGAGCTGCGAATTTCGGTGAACAGTGTCAAACTCAGAACATTTTCCTCCGTTTGAGGCGTTGGAACACGATGTTGCTCTTATGGTCGCCTGGGTCAAATAAAACAGGTAAAAATGGCATCGGGATTCGAATTCAAACACGCGGTCACAGCCTGATTAGCGAAACATTGTGATCTGTCAAGTCAAACAAACAAAAAGAATTAAAACCCCTCAATCAACAGTCAACGAACCTGTGTGGATTGCTCACAGTCCACAGAGTGAGAAAGCTATCGGTAGTACAGACTGAAACGAACCGGCTGGGTGTTCATAGCTACTCAAACACTGAGGACAACCGAACAAAATTCTCTGTCTATCTCCACCTCCAAACGTTGCTGTGTCAACATGGAAGAGCTGAGGCAGTGCAAGTGAATGATTAGATTGTAACTTAGAAAATGACAATAAAATGGATACATTAAAAGGAAAGGAAAAAAAGCAAAGAATGTGTAACAGTCGTGTTGTTTTTTACAGCCCAGTTGTTCCAATCAGCAGCAGTAGCAGCAGCAATGAAGCAGATCAAGCAATT